GACTACTCTTATATGACTACTTCAATTAATATGCTCGACCCGACCAAGGGAACAGGAAGTGTAAGACAAGCACAATAGTAAGTGAGAGGGAACAGAATCGAACGAGAAATTAGAAAGAAAGATAGAATTTAAGAAGTCAAGAAATAGAAATGTAAAGAATAGAGGTCTAGAAGTAGAGAAGAAATAAGGAAAGAGATAAATAAGAAAGTAAAGAATTACAGATAAAGAAATAAGGAAGTAAAGAAGAAATAAATATAGAAATAGAAGAAGGTTGGAAATGGATATGAGGGTTGCTTCCAAGAGACCAGTATAGGAGACCGGCTCGAGAAAGAATGAGCGCTCCGAGTTTGGCCACTCTCCGCTCGCTCCAACTCGCCGTTCCCTGCGCGCACACAATTTTGGGCAACTTCCAATACTTTTGAATATGCTTGGCCAGAATTTCCGATTTCTAAGTGTTAATATTTTACTTTATTGAATTAATTAATTATTTTAATATTCCAGACACCAAATGTATTTATATTTCGATTTGAACGTAATTGATTTTCAATATTCTACAACTTTAATTCAATTTTTTTATTTACTCCGTATACTCGGCGAGATTTTGATTTATCCTCAATTTTATATTTTGAATAAATTTGGAAAGTAAATCAAGATCCAATAATATTTAGTAAAAATTGAGGTGCTATACGGGTGTCAAGTTGGCACTGCACTTTCTTAAAAATGTCTTAAAAATGTTTCAACAATAGGCTTCTTCAATAGTTCTTGAGAAGTTCTATAGTTCCCGGTCTCGTTCTAAGGATTACTTTAGGAACCAGCGGCGAGTGGCGGAGAACCTCTGCCCGCCAAGCTACGCGTTCGTGTTCACGTTTAGCTCGGCTATGACGAGATTCGCATTGTCGATGGAGGCGATGATCACAAAATCCTACTTCCAGACTCACCGCTACGATTTAACGCCATGATTTTGGTATCACCTAAAACCGTAGCGTTGTGCGTCTCCCTACTCATCTCTGGTTCGCATTTCGAAGTTATAGAGAGGTGCTGCGCCTTGTAATCAATATTAAATTCCGTTCTAATTCGCTTGCCACTATTTATATAATAGTGGCAAAATGACAGCGAATCAGTTTCATAGTAAAATAATTACTAGTTCGATCCCCTATAACGGACTTATTTTTTTATATTGAAACTACTTCATTTAATTTATATAATACTTTGGCATGATACTTCATAAAGCAAATGTTTGTATGAACACGTAATATAGGACGGACATGATACAAAAAAAAACTATGTATATCTATTAACTAAAATGAAGGCACGAATAAAATAATTTTTTCGTACGTTGTGAGTCTGTAGAATCTAGTGAAAGTTTAAAGAAGACGACACAAAAATATTCTATCCCTATATTTTTCGCGTTGATTAATTTACAAAGTGGTATCTAATATTTACGAGAAAAATACTTCCATGCTCAGTGGATGAAGCGGAAGAGCAACCCCCAAAACTATAGGCTCAACGTGCAGATCCCCTAACAAGGCGACTAGCTTCATATAATTATTCGAATTAATTTGTTCAACCATTTTTCTACCCGTAAGTCCTGGTATCTGCCATTTTTCTGACCTACTGTAGGATGCGTTCTCAGCCTTTTACCAGCTTTCTAACCTTCTGTTTCTCCAACTGATCTTGTCGACGAACTACGCTTTCCTACAATCCCAAGTTCGCTACAGGATTTACTTAAAATTCAATCCTACAGATCCCGAGTTAAGTAAGTGGGAGTCTTATAGCCGTATTCATAGTCGTTCCTTGAGGAATAAGGATCCCTTGTTCCTCGTTTCGCGTCTCATAGACCTTCCTTTACAGAACAAGGAGCCTTATTAGCCTCCTTATTTCAAGGAAAGTCTCGAGCTTCCTTGAGGATACCTTCTGCACTGTGGTTGGCTATTTCGTTTGATATGTCTAGCGCCACAAGCGGCCCGTGTTAACAGCTAGCCCAGCTCAAGCAGCAAAGATGTATCTTATTAGTTATCGAAATTGTCGGCTGGTTTTAATCATAAATTTTCTTTCCAGGTGTTGACCTCACGCAGTCCTGGTAAAATTATGGAAAAAAGACAGTGCGTATTTCTTTTACGTTTCGACCCTCATGGAGGTCATCTTCAGAAAAGCTTTATTACTAGATAAACATGTGTGAACTGTTGAACAATCATTGGTTAGATTGTGTAAAAAATAGTAGGCCAAACCTAAAGCCATAGTTGATAGATCAGCTATGGCTCTTTTTAACTTTTGACTAATCCTGCCTTTACATGTAACACACAAACTCTTGTTGGTTTGGACTACTATTTTTTACACAATCTAACCAATGATTGTTCAACAGTTCATACATGTTTACCTAGTAATAAAACATTTCTGAAGATGATCCCAATGAGGGTCGAAACGTAAAAGAAATACGCATTGTCGTTTCTTCTTAATTTTACTGGGCTGCGTAAAGTCAACACCTGGAAAGTAAATTTAAGGTGTATCTTGGCTTGGCTTATAGTATAGACTACGCGATCCCTATTTCAAACTCTTTGAAAAAATGTCGCTCGAATAGACAAAGAGGGACTGAGGTGGCGGCCAGTCCTGCCACTATAGGCAATTACATGTCCCTAAAATATACCGTCCTTCTGGAAGGGAGAGCTGAGGTGTGACTATGAAACAAGGACGCCTTGGAGATTGAAGGAAGCCTTCATCAAGGCGTCCTTCATCATTGAGATAAGGACGGACTATGAATACGAGTATTAATGATTTAATTAGACAGAAACGAATTTTTATTTTCAAGATAAAATTCCATTAAATTATACTCGTACCGTTTAACATTAACATATGAGTTAACTGCCATAAGAAATAACTGATATGAAGAATATTTTTGTTCCATATGTTCATAACCATTTTTATTTCATATTTATTGTTTCAAAATAAGAATAACATAACCTACAATATAAATACCTCAAAATATCAGGAGCCAAAGCTGTATTGTACATACACATTAGCTACAACCTGAATTCACTTTTTAAGATCTGTCAAACTTCTAAATGAATTCAAATTGAATTTTGCTATCCAAAACTTACAAATCTATTTACCCGAGTAACATCCGCGGTTAGTTCCGGAAAATTCCGTTAGTTGTGTGTAACGTCTACAGCATGAACACTTTGGTAAAATAAATAATGAATTCTAATACTAACCACCAGGAGTCAGGAAAGGTTTTTCAAATTAGATAATACATATATTATGGCCTTAAGACCGTTTATTCCATCCGTAATACGTGTTACAGTCATAAACGTGGAAATCAGTAATTTATAAATATTCTATCTCAGTTGTAACGATTCAATTTCCAGAAGCCCTCGGGTTCCTGGAAAATTAGAACGATTACATTTTCAAACAAAAAATAAAGAGACCTTTAACAATTTATCACAGTGACAAGGGGCCCTTACCGATTTTCTCCACTACAAGCACGTCATCGTAATCGTAAAACAGTAAACCAGTACTGCAATAACACATATCCGATTACGCAATTAACACATGGGGCTTATATCTCTTTTCTTTTCATTTCGGCTCCAAAATTCTCTTCCATCGAATTTGTCGACACATGAATATCCATCCAAATTCCTGTTCCCATATCCAGCATGAAGGAGTATCCCGATATTCGCTACAGGATCAAGAATAACAAAGGAGTCTGATAGGTTAAGAACGATCACCAAGGATAAGAATATAGGAGTGAGGAACAAGGATGGGGTGGAAGTGGGAGTAGAGATAAGAGCCTCATGATAAAATAAAAAAGATAAGAAAAGCCGTTTTTGGTCCGTAAATAAAAAGAGAAAAATAACAAAATAAATGAAACAAAAAAAAAAGAAGTCCAGAGCAGATAAAAATATTCAAGCAAAAGAAAAGAGTCAAAGGAAAATCTATAAGACAGCTCAAGAATTACCTTTCAACGCTTCCGACAACTTCGTAGTCAAAATAAATTCTCGCCATCATAGGATAAAATACATAAGGGGATGTATATGCAGAGAATAGGCGTAGTGTAATGTAATCAATAATATTATGCTGTAGCAATTAACGTGTATACAATTAATAGATAATTAGCATTAAGAACTAATTGTTAGTTTAAATCGTAAAACCTCTCGACGCATCGCTCCGCGAGAGTGTCGGCGTGCCCAAATAATAACAAAGATAACTGAAACCGCCTCCGTTCAGTGATTCCCATTGGCTCGATTTGTCGTATCCCACGTTAACACGTTGTTAAATTCAATTTTTATAATTAACAATAATAATAATAATAATAATCACGCACCTCGTAAGCCATTCACGCTTTGTACTCTCAGTCACAATAGTAACGAGCAAAACCCGTCGGTAAAGTACGTAAAATATTAACGTACAAAAGTGACGCAACGACAAAGAATAACCTGCAAAGTCAACGTTAAACACTCGCGTGCTCTTTGAACACTATTATTTCTGTCTGTACACTCGGTTTAAGTCCTCGTTATATCTTTTCTTCAACTGTTCGGTCTCTCAACTCCGCGTAAAGCTTCTTTAACCTCGTACGTAACCACCAACGAGCACAACACGTGGCACGCGGACACTGACGCCAGCGACAGCCTCGCACAAGCCGTTCGGCGATGCGTTGAGTCTAGAAAACCTTAAACTTTTATGTGTCCTTATTTCTCCACTTGGTTTTTCACGTAATTTCTTTTCGTTAATTCATTCGTCGAGTCAAGAAAGGCTTATGCACGCATACACACATACACGCTCTCTCTCTTTCTCTCTCTGCGGTAATATCGTAACGACATACCTAACGAAAACTTACAGTTTACAACGCAGCCGCGCATGCGCAAATCGTTGACGCGGGAAATGAAAACGATACTCGTATAACAACGAATTAAAACGAATGCGTTATAATATATATTTATATATGGGTATGTATATATATATAAAAAAAATAAATAACCAATATATTACATCGTATCAAGTACATCGTTTGTTACTTTGTCTTCCTCTTCCAACCTCCAATCTCCTTACTCCTTCCTTTGCCCACTTTCAACAGATTTTATTTCACTTTGTCGACTTTTATTCTTTTCATCATTTGCTTTGTCTAATCGATTAATCGATCGCTAATTAATTTTTTCTTTTAAATCGTTCTTACTGTTATTTCTCTCTGCGTTTTTTTTTACCTTGTCTTTCTTTTTCGTACAATTTTCTTGCGCACCGTTCCTGTACATTGGTATCTCAGAATAATCTGTTCTCTTTTGTTGCTTTAATTCTTTATATTTCGCTTTTGTCTCTATTAATGCCTATGCTTTTGGGTTTTATCTGTTTATTTATTTTCGCGCCACGCACTAGCCACTCGGATCATCGTTATGTTCACGACATACCGCATAAACGCATTCGATAATTGTAAAGTGGTGTATATGCTAGTATCGATAATCGTTAACGTTAATCGTTATTGTTGCTATTAGTAATTAATATGTAATCGTTATTCACATTATCGTTAACGTTTTATCATTAACGTCCTACCGTGATGATTTTTCGAGAAACAATAACGACGTGACGATTTCATTATATTAGACTGTCGCGTGATCAATCTCTTTTTCGCGGGAAATACAAAAATTGGCTCTTCGATCCTGTTTCGAGTGACAACAAAAAAATGTTTTCTCGTCTCATTAATTCAAAAATGTCCCGGGGCGTCTTGTTAACGCGAAAATAAATTGCACGCTTTCGTACCGATCGATCGCGGAGTCGTGTAGAATGTGAATTGGCGGGAAAAAATGCGTTCGGACTGCCAAGTGTATTTAAAAAAGAAAACAAAGCTCGATTATACAAAAAAAAACTTGACTTTAAGTAAAAATACTTTTAAAAAATCCTACCGAATTCACAGACCCTTTTTGCCATTCTTTAATGTTAATAACGTATGAGATTGCTCGATTTCGATTGCAGTTAATAAAAATGGGCGCGATTGACAAATTTGCGAAATAATATACGAGAGTCGGTGGTGAGCTTACTGGGTTAGGGGATAATATTTACAAAAATGAATTTTTTTTATACCCTATTAGATTTCGTATACGTTGCATCTTTTCCTATCCGTGTGTCCCTAGAATTATAATATATATATATGTATATACCAGTCATTTAAAAGTTTATCAATTCGGTTCTCGTTAGGTGAAAACAATCGTCGGCCATTTTGATTATTTTTTCTCTTTCTCTTTAAATACTTTATTTAACTTCATTTGCATTATCCTTTAAGCCCTATTTGAAAAACTGCCAAGCGATTACATTGCTTCTGTCAAGAATTATTATTATTATTTATAGCCTTTCTATGGTAACTTCTAATACGTAACTGTACGAGATTAATTTTATGCTTTATCTTTGGAAAAAGTATGCTATACTGTCTGAATGCTAGTGTACGATAATTTTAACTATATTACGTGCAATGTACTGAGATAAAATAGCCGGCGATCGGTTAGCCTATCGTTCGAACGGCCCAAAGATCGAGCATGAATAATTCACGAAACGACGATTTTCATGAAAATTAATGTTTCAGAGCTTTTCGAATTGTTCATATATGTCAAATGTTTATAACGCTTTTTTTTCAGTTTCCCTTTTTTTGTCGTTCTTTTTCCTATTACTCTTAACGGAACCAATACGACGGATAATTGTAAAAGATGCACAAGCCATATACGATGATTAATGTTTCTTTTATAAATCTACAGATTTTCAACTTGTGAACGGTTCATGTTAAAAATACATATCATCGTACTATTATTAATAATAATAATATCGTTATTCGTCATTAAACCCTACATTCTCTAATCTTTCATTTTAAATCGGTCTTTCATTTATTTATTCGATTAATTAATTACGTTATATCGTATCATCGTTCATATACGTGTTGGTGCAGTGTTTCGTGGCTGTGATGGTGTGTATCGGATGTGCCCGAGTTGTCTCGTCACCCCCAACCCCCCTGTATCTTTTTTCCATTTTTTTTTGGTTTTATTCAATTTACCGCGTCATTCGTACGAGACCAACGAAATGCTTTATTGCACTTAGAATTTTTTTTTTCGGGATTTTCAAAAAAAAATTTTTTTTTTCATCTTACTCTTCTTCATTTTTTGTTGACTCTGTCGCGATAACGCAATTTTTGATCTTAAAATTTGCGAGTGTCAAATATTTTTAAATAACAGCGTTTTACCCCCTTTACGTATGAATTCGATCATTTTTTGCAAAATATTTTCGGTCTTTAAAAGCACTTCATTTAAATTTATCCAGTCGTGTAACGTGCAGAGGTTGTTTGTCGCATGTTTTCGAAATGGGAAGGCGAGCATTTTTTTAAATAGATTTATTCGGATGACTTTATTAACGAGCGCCCAGTCATTTCACCTCTTTTTTTGTTGTTCCGTACAATTTTTTATCGAGAGCGTCCAACACATTTCCCACATGTAGTCGTCGATCCAAAATTAATTAACATTAAAAGACCCGTGCGAGTGGATTGTCCGAATTGAAACGAATTTTATTTTTTTTCTCGAAAAAATTGTAACAAAAGTTTTTTGTGAGATAAATACGAAAATTGACCACGATAGTCGTGAATTCCGATACGTTATTGAATAATAGAACTTGGAGTATGTTATTGTGATTCGTTTAAATTCGAAAAATCCTTACGGACATAGTACATTAAGTAATGATAAGTTCCTCGTGACATCGATCTACAATTATTATTACAGTACTTGACGGTGTGATTTTGGTTCGATTGGCAAAAGTTAATGGGGAGCAATGAATTGGTACTGGTGGCATTTTCAAATTGGATAAACACGTTCTATGACAATATCAATCAATTGCATAACGCCAGATGGATCATGGTAGTTGAATTTTTGCGAACACACTCTCATACGCTTCGTTCAAATTACCTTAAAAAATGTTATCGTGTATTGTAAACCTAGCGTGATCTCAATTTCCATATCTTTTGACGGTGCGAATTTTATTCCCATTAAACAATTTGATTAACGTATCGCGTGACGGAGAATAAACGTGCGTGTACCAGAGATTAGGATCCAAAAATCGTCATCCCTTCTTAGGATAAAAAAATGTAAAAAAAAAAAATGTACATTCCAAAATGCCAAATTCAAAAATTTATTTTATTCCCGTGTATAAAGAGAATTTCTTAATTGCGACAAATTCAAATTTCAAAATCGACTTGTCTACTGTATTCTAATGTCACTTACAAAGAGTTGCTAGGTATTTTCGAAAATTTTTGGACCCTAACCATGGTCATTCCTAATGTCCTGTCGACGGATACGCCGTCATTGACTTTCCAGCTTAAAATATATTTCAAATTCAAAATACGAACACACCGTACACCCTGGTGGCAAAGTGTAGCGAACGTCGAAGAGGACAAGTTTAAGTTAGCGCAATACGTAGATACGAATTAAGAAATCTATTTTTTTTTGATAATTAAAAAAAAAACATGATAGGAAATCGTTGGGAGTGTTCCGTAAAGACTAAGTCAAAGGAATTGAAGAGATTTTGGGAAAAGGTGAATTGGGGGTTGGGGAGGGATGGAGGCGGCTGTAACTTTAGATCATGCAGTTTCAGTCACTGTTATTATTTTTTTTTTTTTCATCTTATAATATCACAATAAGTCTCAAAATACCAGCGGCCGCGTATCCGCGACCCCCGTTCTGAATTCAGATCTCTTCGAGAACGAGCATTTTCTGCTTTATAAATATTTTCATTTATTTATCACCCGCGTGTTTCTTGTTTTCTCGTCTCTAATCATCCGTTTCTTCGTTTTTTACATTAATTCGTACTCCACGCCACTGAAAGTCCAGCGTCTTGTTTTGCGTTTTATACTTAATTTTTTTTCACTTATATCCGCTTTACGTCATTTTTTTCTCAATATAAGGCTCCCACGGCAGTCTCACGAAGTAGCATCAGTTCTTGTGTCAACGATAAGTGGAACGCGGCAGTCGTGTCTCGTTGAAAAAAAAAAAAATATATCACGACACCCAAAGAAAAACCCGAGCGGAACCGACGTGAGCCGATAGTAGCTGAGTGACGATTTAAAAAATTTTTATCGTCTCGTCGCAATCCTGAGGGTCGATTAAAAAATTTTTAAATCGTAGAATTTTTTTTACGAGCAACACTGACACGTTCTCGTTCTTTAAGCGTTAAAGGCTGAAATCCTAATAGCGATATACCAACACAGTGACGAGAAAAGAAAAAATGAAGTCCCGCACGAAAAACACGACGAATGGATTTGAAGCGAGGATAAATGGAAATATCTGTATACAGACTGGAGTCACGCTATAATGAAGGAATGAAACACGTGTATGCGTAAGGGATGATTTTCTGACGGGAACGACAGAGATCGAACGAGCATGTGAAAATGAAAAAATTGAAAGAAAAAATTTCGTTAAAAGTCTATAGGGAAAATGAAAAAATTGAAAAATAAAAAACAAAATTTACAAAAGACGCATTCAATTGAACGTTGTACGAGGGACGCTGGGAATGAAAAAGTGAAATTTACTAGCAACGTAATAACTTCTTGAAGACTATAAAAAAAGACCAGTAAATAAAAAAATAAAGAGATCTACGAGAGCGGGTTGCGCATATACGAGCAATGTATTAAAAAAAAAATATCAAAATCGAATTTGTCTTCCTGGGGGACAATGAAAAGAATTGTTGTCTGGGGGTCGCGGGATGTACGGAGCAGCGAGACAGGCAGCGCTGCGCGCGGACAATAGTCCAAATCAGTCGAATCGCGTTTTGTTTTATTTCATCATTAAAAATATAAATTCAAATTTAGAATTTACTATATAAAAGGCCTTGCTCTCGCGTTCCTTAACGTCTCTCCGTCGCGTTTTTAATTTTCGTCAATGCCCTCTCTTATATCTCTTTTGTCCACCGTTTAAACTTCGCTCATTTTCGTAATTTTTTTTTTTTTTTTTTCTTTCAAAAATTTAGCTTTTCACGTTTTCAGCATACCAATCCCGCTAGCGCCAACAGCTCGAGCGTACTTTATTATGCTGTCCGCTTGTTCGCCGCCAAATACAATCGTACAATAAGGACGAAAGCGTCCGCGTCACGGATATTACGGAAGGCCGTAAAAACGTTAGCCAACGTGAAAAATTCGTCGTAATCTATTAATTCTTTTTTTTTATCGAATTTTCGCGCGATAGAAAATCCCGCTCGTCTTTAAAAACCCTGATGATCGCCCGTCTCTCGTTCATCCAAAATTACAGCAGAGATTGTTTGCGTCACTATTATTATCATCATCGATCAGTAACATTATCGTAAACATTATTCTTGTAATTAACGTTAACTAATCATTAATCAATCACTCTTTCATTTTATTTATTATTATTCTTTTCCACTTTCAATTTCCTGCCATAAGTCCATCCTTCGCGTATGTAAGTCTCTAAGGATATTCTATACCTATATGTATATCTATATACGTACAAAAACATGCAGATACGTATATACACATAAATATAGCGCATCACTTATTTATGCATCGAGATAAGAAATAAAAATTAATAAACGCTTACGCACTCGCTCTCTTCCGCCGTCGTCTTTAATCAATCGTTAATTACGTAATAACGCGAGTAAGTCTAAGAATTTCCAGTTCCTTTTCTATTTTCTTAATTCTCTCCCAATTCCTCCCCAACCGTCCAACACGATGGCCCAAGAAGTCCCCCGTGCGCTCGTAATCGCGCTCAAAATTTTTTCCCAAACTACTTACCATCAAATTTTCATCCTAATTACACGTTCTCACCAATTTCCCAGAATCCCGTTTTAAACACTTCAATTGCTATTACATTATACTTTGTATATAGTCCGTCGCACAATTTTCTTACAGCTATCATCCGCGCCCACCAATCCTTATCTATTATATCCTACAACCACAGCAGGTACTGCATTAATAATATTATGTATGTTTACGTATCATGCGCGCGCGCGCAACTAGCAAGAAAAATCCTGGTTCGTCACAGTTTTTTCTCTTTTTTTTTTTGTTTCTTTTTTTTCCCTTTTTTTTACCCCCTTAATCGCGTGTCAACGGGAGTCCCTCGGCGAGCGCTGAGATCCACATCACGGCTGGCGGTCTGACGTCAGCGAATTAGAACACATTATTGGTTATATTTTTTTACGGTATTATTTTTCCTCGTTTCTTTCATCCCCTCGAATCCCCTCCACAGACTCCCTTTCGAAACCGTCCATCCGTTACACGGTCGACGATAGACAGAGGCAACATCGACCGCGCGACACTCTGCGCATCCCACCAAATTGCAGCCCACGATATTTTGGGCAGTGTTCATGTGTGTAAAAGTGTATGGGTGTGTGTAAGCTGTCAACGCGCAACTGAAAGCAACGTCACTGTCATTAAAAATGCTTGCCAACGTACGAACAATCGAAATTACTTGATAAAATTGCATCTGCGCATCGAGTCGAGCGCTTGGGCTACCATTGTCGCTATTACATTAGTTTCACTTCGTACCGCACAGACGGCGCTGGCGGTTTACATAAATCATATGGTATCATTCGCGGCTTCTCGTTCTTATACGACTATACAGTATTCAGTAGAAACGCATCGCCTGAAGTTAGCGCGACCATTTGAGTCTTACGGTAGAGCCCATGTTCAGATGGTGCGTTTGGGTTGAATAAGCTGGTTTACAATTTCGTTTACGTTACAACGCTCTTCCACGTGGTTCCTTTTCTCTTGACTCTCGAAATTAATTCGAATCGAATGCGCCGGTTAGTTGGTCCAATCGTAGACACGTCGTACTCGAAACTTCTCTCCTGTTCACCATTATCATTGTCGTCGTCGTCGATGATCTCGTCCAATGTGGCGAACGCTCGGGGGACCATCGCGAGGACCGCGACCGTATTAGTATCTACGAATATCATAATCTTAAAGCTAAATCAACTGCGACATGATTAGCGCCTGCTCGCCTGTCGCGAATATCTATGTACACAAGTCATTAATCGAAATGGTGGTTTTACACGCGGTGTATCGAGGGACAGGCGTGAGATCGCTTACATGTATACACAAGAGCGTACGTGTACGAGTGTCATGGTGATTCGACATTTTTTTTAAAAATAGGTAAAAAACATATGGATTACACTAATGATACAGTCACGGAGTAACAAGAGAAAGCAGGAAACAGATATTTTCAAACTTGTGACAACATTTGTTAAAGTGTCAAAATTGTCATTCACAACCTCCCCCCCTCCTTGCCAATCCCCCTCTTTTAACTCGTTATCACGCTCGGTCTCACTGGTATCGTAATTTTACGATCTACAATCAAGTATCATAGTGACGAGATATTAGTCGGATACGATCGGGAATAAATATCGCGACGAAAGATAAATATGAAATTTTTTTACTGATTACGCCACATTAAAATTCGTCTAATGTTATCGATAAAAAAAGAAGTTACAATGAAAAACTCCTCTCTAACCTTACTACCAAAAATATAGCTGATTTTAACATTTTTCATATAACACGCACACGAACAGTCTCTCTCGTCCTTTACTTTGCCTCTTACGCAAAAGAGGCTTTGCTTTTATCAACAATTTTTTTTCATCCAAATCTTTATTGCGATTCTCTGACCGTTAATCGCCATGACACTTGTACTCGAAGCTCGAGTACACAGATCCCGCACGGGAACGGCCATTTTCGCACGCGAGAACGTGGGCTACGCGGCTGACAGTGCGAATCGCGCGTCAATTAATACGAGTATTGATGATTCGAAGCTGCACAAGTCTTTTTTCAGTTTCTTCAGCGGAAGGCCAAATTTACGATAACGAGGATCGGGAACGTAAGGGAACGAATAACGCGAAGGAGCTGCGAGATGGAACTAGAGGATGCGGATGAGGAGTTACGGGAGAGGCGCATGGGACTGGACTAAATGAAAGAGTCAGGTAACTCGTGTACCGTGTAAGATGATTTCAACGAATAAAATGAGATGAACGAGCTGACAAATTTTTTTTTCTTAATAAAAATTTCAAAAACCACCAATCCAACGGGTATAAAAAATACGAGGATATTACATACAAATACAACGCACAGCACGTAACGTAGCCCACGTCAAATTTTTGTTTACTTCTAACCCGAATACGGCCGCACCATATAACTTTAGATATACCTCTATATCGTACGTCGACTCTGTTTATTTATCATATATATATATATATATATATAAAATTTATGTATAATATATATATATATATATATATATATATATTACAATTTAACTGCAACTTGCAATGATAACGCGTATAGTTGAAACGTGTGTCTCACGAGAGGAGTGTAACGTGTTAATTTCTATGTCGTCCCCCGAATTACGTCCCTTAATTGTAACGAATCAGTTTATTTCAAACATTCGCGCACGTTTCTCCTTGTTTTCTCGAGTCCGTAATACGCGTGTCCTCTGGGTATAAAAAAGGTAGACGAAAAAGAAGAAAAAAAGAGAGAAAAGTCATTTCTCTGTAAGATAAGCGAAAGGGAGAGTGAGAAGGAGCGTGAAAAAGAGAGAGAGAGATATATATATATATATATAACGAGTATACGTGTAACGCGTGTGTTTGGTAAACGTAACATTGCTCGCGCAAGAGTCGTGTCACGTTTTTCTTTCCCCTAGTGGTAAATCAATTTTATTGTTTTTTTTTTTTATTTATACGTTAATCAATAAGAATAATCTTCGTTCTCGTTCAGTTTTGCTACCGTTAACGTATCAGTTGGCGCACCATTGGTTTCGTATGTAATCGATAAGCACGGTGTGTACATGATGTGTGTTCTGTGTGTTTTTTTTTTCATCCTTTCTCCCCTATTTATCTATCTATCATATATGCGTCTCTATACGTACCTATAAGCGCACAATGGTCCATAGGTACGTACAGATGAATCCTTCACCATTATTTTCGTTTTGTACGTACGTGCAAACATTACTTCCATGTATATCGTAAAGACGTGGCTTTTCATTATTTTCCCAAAAAATTTTTTTCTCTCTCTTTTATTTCCTGTACCTCCGCTTTTTTTTTTTCCCCCCAAAATCCGAAATCTCGCACTCGCGCGAACGACTCCCTTACGCATTACGTAGGTACGGTACTTCGTCGTGTGATAACGGTATTATCGCTATAGTCGCGTGACTAATGTTATTTTGTATATTTTTTTTTTGCGCATGCGCACAATAACCAACTTAACCGAGCCCCCTGTCGGTACAAATTTTTGTTGATACTGGCGGATTCGTATTTTATTGCGATTTCGTATTCGGAGAAGGAATCGATTATAGTTGATCGGTAATGATAAGGGTCGAGAGGGTGGAGGATTTTTTTTTCATTTTTTTTTTCATTTTTTTTTTTAGCAAATCTGACGTCGACAACGTTGAGAGTGACGAGGCTCGATTGGGGCCCGATTAACTGGCGATCACGCTTTACGTGGATTCGCTGAAAATGGGCGTAACAGGTAGGAAGTAATATTTACGTATTAAAAGCGTGTTTGTAAAGTGCGTTAACCAAAACGTTAATCCGTTAATTTACTCGGTTAGAGTCTAGCTACGTGTGGTGTCCGGGGCCCGGTCAGTCCTGGGACAAAAAAAGTCGACGGGCCCTTTTCAAGGGCCCCACGGCAACAGATGGCCGCGCGAGCGAGACGCGGCACGCGCGCGTTTTTACGGGACCTTAATTAATCGGGTCCCAAGAGTCCTGTGTGTGGCGCGTTAACGGGCCCCGCTGGGAATCGGTCCCCGAGCGCGACCATATACCTATACACTCTTGATTTCATCCCCGGACTGTCCCGGCATTGTTTGTAACGATATTAGTCAATATATACTTTATGTATGTGTCATAACAACCAATAGCTCATCTATATATATATAATATATATATATATCTTATATTTATATATACTTCTATATATCTTTCATATATACTTTATGTTGCTTTATGTATACTTTATATAACAATATTATGTTTATTTAAGGCCCAATACGTTCATTACGAAGGAAATAATCTGCAACAGAAAGTAAAACGAGACACGGTTAGATCGTCCTGGCTAACCCATACAAAAGATAATAATAATTAAAAAAAAAAAAGAAACACAAAACACAAAAGGAAAAATATACGTTACTAAATAAATTTCTTCATTCCTACGACCCGAATACCCAAATCACTACTTCATTCTGATAAGTCCCAGACCTATTGGCCTCCAAGCCTCGACAAAAGATTTCACAAGTCCCAACTCTCCCTGCTCACCTTGACAGAGCAAGGCCCCGTGTCACTCGCGTTCCGTGTCCTCAGCCAGCGTCGGGTTGCCCTGCGCCCCGTCGGTCGTTCAGCTATCGACGCTGAAGAGTTCTTTATGGAGGGCCGGAAACTCGAGGTGGGGCTGCGACCTCTTGAACTTCGCCAGGGCGTCCATGTGCAGCAATGAGATCTCTCTTAATTGTGGGATCTTGGCGAGCATCGCGTCGCAAACTGTTACGTCACCCTTTATCGGGGACACGTGGTTCCGATCGAGTTCCGACCTTAATGCCCTGATCACCGCCTGGGACAGCCTCGTGATTTCAGCAAGACCCTTGAGTCCTGGTCGATCTGAGGTTAAAAACAAAATAATTACTCATTTTCATCCATCTTCGGATCAATCTCCACTATCATGCATTTCGTTCTCACCCAAGATCACAAATTAATACACACCAGGACTGAGTAGCACTGCTGCACTGTAGAGCGCAAGCTCCGTCTCGGTAAGCTTCAGCTCGGCGACACTTCGCGCAAGCTCAAAGACGCACGAAACGAGCTTCATCTCCGCCGTGTCTGTCGTGTAGAACGCGTCCTGGGGCAACATCGTGTCGCCGTACAGGACGCAGTTTTGTTGGAGATCGAGGTACCTGCTCATTCGGAGTACCGCTAATTCGAAGGAACCTGAACAATGGATTAGGGTTAAATGAGCAAGGTCGTTCAACCAGGCACCTCAAAGTACAGAGAGCCAACGATAATGCGTCTCGATAGGAAAGTCCAGAACAATTTTCTACCTACCGGCTTTCAGAAGGACGATCTGATCGTCCTGCGAGAGCTTCATGAACCCTGGTACCATTTTCGCGAACTCTATGATCTGCTGAATGACAGTGGTCAGCTTCTGAGCGCACTCGAGCCACAGCTGCTCGTGCGCCATGTTCTTGTAATATATCAGCCTGGACAGGTCATGGGGCTTGCGGAACGACTCCTGAATTTGATCGGTGGAAAGCAGACACGTCCGTGCGTGAGCATCCGCTATCGTCTTTGAGAGAAGTTCGCTGATTTGTGCCGGATCTGAAAGAAATTAAAAGTTCGTTCGATAAACTTTGCAAGACCAAATTTAAAAAAAAAACGATCAAACCAATCGCAAATACACGTGGTAAAAAAAAAACGTAAGCAAAAGCGATCGTCACCAGAGTGAATAGCGTGATACAAAGTCCCAGCTAGGATAGTCAAAAGTAAACATGCAAGAGTTCTAAGACATTCTATACCACGTACGACGTAACACCCTAGTCATTCCTTAAAAATCCATATAAAGTCATATCGAAAGCTTCTCCATACCGACTGCGATCATCACCCCGCATAAGTCCCACGTGTCATCGTATGTGGTAAAACGAATACAGGATGATGACTCTTGGATAATAAAAATATGATAAACAGCAACGACAATCATACTCATGCAAAAGGACACAAACATAATCTCACATCTCGCATGGGACATACTGGGCAGACTAGGGACTTCGTCATCCTCGGGAGGATTGTTGACCCTTTGTTGTTGACTGTTTAGAAATGTCGTCGAGTCGACCATCGTGTAGGAACCATGTCCAAGACTGGCAAGCTCGACTGTAGTTTCTTGTTTAACAGCAACAATTCCTCCACCGCTTAATGAACCCCCACCACCACCACCACCGCCGCCACCACCACCTCCACCACCACCACCACCACCACC